CTAAACACAGACTGATGTAGCAAGCGCACAATCCAGGACTTCCCTCTCATCACTCGTTATGCAAAACGTCGCATGATAAGCAAGTCATTTTTTTACAATTTGTTTTGCTCGTTATGCGAATTACTCGTTATGAGAAGTGCTCGTTAAGCGAGGTTCCACTGTACTTCCCTCCTAACTGAATCATAGGGTTTCTTGAAGTCTACAAATAGCTGATGTACTGTCTCATTGTACTCACATTTTTTCTCCAATATCTGACAAATGCAAAAGATCTGATCTGTTACGTTGAAACCCACACAGATAATCCCCAATAATTTCATCTATGTATGGACTTAACCTTGAGAGAATAATATTGGATACAATTTTGAAGTTGATAGCAGTGATATCCCCGATAATTACTACGGTTACTTTTATCACCCTTCTTGTGAACTGATACAATAATAGACCCCTTCCACTGATCAGGCAATTTTTCCTTGTGCTTTTCCTTAGCTTATGGATCTTAGAATGTAATATTTCACCTCCTGCTTGAACAAGTTCTGCAGGAATTTGATCACTACCTGGCGATTTATGGGGGCACACAGTAGCGTAGTGGTTGAGGAGCTATGCTACAAGCCGGAAGGTCACGGGTTAAAGTCCCGATNTAATTAAATAATTTTCCTGGGGAGTAAAGGGCGGCCGGCACGAAGGCCTGACAACCTTACTGCCATCTTTGAGCCAATTGTCTAGACAATGTGGGACCCTCAACGTCTCACAACCATATGGGCCTTCACAGCCTGGTACGGGAATAGCTTTACTTTTTTTTTGCCTGGCGATTTATACCTTTTCAATTTTGCAGTAGCACTTTCAACCTCAAAAGGGCTAGGCTCAGGTAGTAATGGGCTAACATCACTGACCCTTTGTATGTTCAATAACTGAGAGTAATTCTTTCACATATTCAAAATGTTGTGGGAATCTGCAAGCAGATCACCATTCTCATCCTTCACTAAGTTACTGCTAGGGTGGTAACCCCTCTTAAAGTCATTTATTCCTCTATACAGGTCTCTAATGTTCTTGTTCTTACTGTTCATTGCAAGCTCATCAATTTAGTCTTTCAGATATTCCCTCTTTTTAGTCCTGAAATGCCTGCTGGTAGCTTTACTTATATTTTTAAGATTATCCCCATTTATTTTGCTTTGATCCTGTAATCACTATAATTTCGTTTGTTTTCTTTATTATAAAAATTATAAGCATCCTTCATCAAACTATGGCTTATGCTTCTTCAGTTCATAATAACCTAAACTCTCCTTGGCAGAAATTTTGATATTCTCTCTAATAGTTTCCCAAGCTTTATTAACATCCACCTCAGTGTCTAACTTTTCCAAAGCCACGAACCTATTTGAGATTTCAACACAATACTGCTCTTTACCCTCTACCTCGTATAATTTCCTGAGACTGAACCTCTCCATATGAATGCCACCGCCAGGTAGTGGTCAGTTTCACACTCTGCTGCCCTGAATGATCAGACATCAAGTATTCTCGAATGTCACCTCCTATCTAACAAAATATGGTCGATTTGATTGTGTGTGTCTTTCCACGAGGAGATGTCCAAGTAAATTTATGGATGTTTCGATGTGTGAACATTGTACTTTTGACAGTAGGATTTCTCACTGTGTCAAAGTTTACTATAACTCCATTATCATTACTAATTTCATGCAAACTCTCATTCCCAAATGTTGGTTTGAAAATGTCTTCCCTTCCTACTTTGGCATTGAAATCTCCTAACAAAATTTTCAAAGGGTACTTTGGAAATTTATCAGATATATGTTCTAGTTCTTCAGAGAGTTTGTCCTTTATGTCATCAATTTTAACTTCTGTTGGGGCATGAACATTCAGAACGATATAATACCAAAATGTTACTGGTGTCATGTCATATATATGACATCCTATCACTAACGAACTTTACCCTCTTTTAACTGCTGATACAGTTCTCTTATGTATGAAAAAACGTGTACCTAATTCATGATTTTCATTCCCCTTTCCATAGAAAAATGTATTTCACCTACTGGTTCAATGCCACCTCTGCCCCATCTGACCTCCTGTATTCCCACTAAATCTAACTTATAGTTTGAGATTTCTTCCGCCACCGCCTTGAGCGAATCTGACCTATACGTACATCTAACATTCCAAGTACCAAATCTCATATCCGTTTTCTTTAGCCTAGGTCGTTTATCCAGAGGATCCGTCCAGGTCTGAGGCTTTTTGAACATTTTCGTAACAAGCTTATTTTTTACAGTGAGGAGTTGTTAGCCCCACACCCAAAGCTGGAGGACCACCCCTTGTCAACTACCTGCGACTGCTTATTCAATATATTCGCAGCTTCCCTCCATACCTGGGCGCCTCCTCCACCCGCAACCTGAGGATGCACCATGCCATGGTGACAAGGGACCCACCTAACATGGCATTCATTATGGGTAAACATATAAATTTAATTTTAAAAGACTGCCTTGTTCAAATGTAGTGAAACAGCTTAGATCTGAGCAGAAAAGTATTTTTTTACATATATATTTCAGGCTGTCATGTTGGGATCAAACTTAAGGTGTTGTGGGATGTGATGACATGTAGCCTGGTAGATGGGGTGCCCATACATTGAATTGCATGATTTCATTTGGATGTTATATTTAAGGTAAGTTTATTTTTAATATAATTGGTTGTGTTATACAAATTACGTAAGTTTATTTTTAATATAATTGGTTGTGTTATACAAATTACATAAATGCATATCTTCTTTGGCTTTAAATTGAATATTACTGGAAGAAATAAGTATATTTTTTAATGCTGCAAGTAACTTAAACTGATGTTTCTTGCTGTGTGTCACAGATTAAACTGAATTTATCCACTGGCATTCTTCCAAAAATTACATATGTTCACAAATTTATACCCATGGTTCTGCCCTAGCATTCAGTCTCTACAAAATGTCCTTGCACAAATAGAGAATGTGCAATCAGTCTGGATTGAATTTCTTTGTATCAAATCTCTACAAACTCCCATTTAAAAGACAAAGTATAATTTTAAAAAATGTACACAGATATATGATCAATTTTTACATCAACCGATTAATTAAACAATGACACGCACACAGGCTCACAATGTACTGTACATTTACCAAACCAATTCTGAAAATGAGTGACATGTCTCAGCCCAGACCCCTACCACAATTACAGGTGTGAACAAGGTGCACAACTTTGTTTTAAGATGATAGTTTCACCTGCATAAGTGGATCTGCTGAACAAAATTACAAATTAAAATTAAATAAGTGTTAACTGCTTCTGTTTTGAATTTCAACGTACTCCTGAAATCTGCAACCATGACATTCATTTTATAAAAACTGATTTAGTTATGTTATTACCAGGGCCCAGATTTTGATGAACTGAAAATATTTAAAAACTTACCTATAAAATGACTGAAAAAATCCATAAAAATTACCTAATATATGACCCAAAAATGTAATATGCAGGGCCTGGATTTTGATGACCTGAAAATATTAAAAAAATGACTGAAAAAATCCAGAAAAATGACCTAAAAGAGAAAAGAAAGAACACTTCGCTTCCATATTATTCATATTTCAGAAAACATATGAAGAATAATTCCCTAAAATGGCCAAAAATGACAAGAAATACCCTTAAAAGTCCAAAAATTTACCAAAAAATTACCTCCAAAATGAAAAAATGACCTTAAACCTAAAAATGACAAAAAAATTACCTATAAAATTTACATTTCTGTAACCAGCAGCTCATATCCAAGATTTATATATTTAAGAGCATCACATAGGATACAAGGAAAAAAAAAGATGACATGTCATCAAAATCAGGGCCCTGGTTATTACCCATCATAAAAATGTTTTAAAAACTCAACATTAAACCATCAGCAAGCAACATTTTCTGTGTATATATAACTAAGAACATTAAATCTTCACTGTAATAATTCCAGTACTTTGGTATCCCTAGCATTATGTGGAATGATGGGTTCTCCTGTCTGTCTAAAAGATCTTCGAGGTAGTTAGTTTTTGGGGTTAGGTGGGACCAAGTCCATTCGGTACATCAGCCACTAACTGGCCTATGATACCAGTCCCGGATGATAATTGGTGAGTGTGGAGCAGCTGGTGGAATGAGAATTGGCAGGGAAACTGAATTACTTGGAGAAAACCTGCCCCAATGCCATTTTGTCCACCACAAATCCCACATGACCTTACCCGGGCTTGAACCCGGGATGCTGTGGTGGGAAGCTAGCAACTAGCAACTATCATACCTTCAGGATGCACCCTTATGGAAGAAAGGTCCTGTGTTTTTAATGACACCTCCAGTATGGCAATTCTGGTTCCCACTATAAGTTGAAAATAGAATTTAGTGACCTTTTAACTGATGATGTAATGATCTACATCAATATATGATGATGATGATGATGATGATGATGATGCAACCCAGCTTAAGCGTATATATTTCCCAGCTACCAATATGCTGTACCCTACCCCACTGCCATTTTGCTATCCTACAATTAATCTCAAGCAGTGTACCTTAACTACAATTAATTTCAGTTACCGATTGTTACTGCCACAGAATTCTAACACTGTAACCTGCTCTGTAAGTGGTAAGGAACAAGTGCTACCACCAGACTGGTACTTCCAGATCCACGCTTACTTCTGGTTAGTAATATTCTTGATAAGAGCTCTGTATCTTTCAACCATTGGAGCATATATCTGAAAACACAAGCAAGAATATATGATTTCTGGCTTTCACGGTGACAGTACACTGTGAAGTCTTCTTGAGCAGTGACCCCTCAACCTGTGCTGAAGGCAAGGCAATAACGACCATCTGATGCCACTCGCTGTTTCCTGTGTGGTCCTCTCTGCAAGAGACAACAGCTCTGTGTATAAATGCAGTGCATGAACACAACACTGATCATATCAAATCCTGATGATACAGACAGAGGGAGTCTTTAAAACACTGTATACAAACTGCACACTAATGTGGCTCACTGCCTAAGAAGACTTCTTTACAAACAGGAATACCAATGTAATACAATGTTAAGCAAACCTGTGAAACAAAAATGAGATATGAGATTTCATGGCAATGAAAAGTACGTTCATGGCATGATGCCATGTAGTTTCTTACATGGTTACCAACATTTTGGAGGAACCAGCTGCCATCATCTTTAGGGAAGAAGAGTATGTTATGTACTGCAAAAATTATATCATCGGCAAAACAGCCCTCTTTGAACCACTGCCTTTCTCAGAAATTTCTACCAGGCTTGTCTATTCCATCATAAATTATACCATCCAGTGTCATTTCTTTGGATTTCACAACAGTATTGTTTTTCCACAGAACAAGGTCATAAAACCTTGCATCCGACCTCCCAACCTGGAGGACCAGGTTTCTGTATTTATGCCCCCAGTGACATGGTGGCTCAGTTATACCCTGAGCCACCAGTTTCCCTTTTTGTTGCCCTTTATGACTTGCAGGGCTACAGTGGAGGTATTCTCCTCCACCTCCACACAGGACAAAAAATGAGAACCAGGACTGGGGCTTTAAGTTAAGACTGGCATCTACCCTTACAAAACAGCCCTCAATCACTAGTGGTTTGCTCCTGGCCTGACCCTCTCTTCTCTACATCCATACCATTTTTCTCAGCAGTTTACTCTTCCACCCTGAAGACAGAAACAGCAAGTTCATCAAAACTGTTGGTACCTAGCCACAAAACTACACGGTGCCGCATCCCAGATATTGCCACAAGAACCATATATCTCTCATTGATTAAATATGTTTCATGCCAATATTTCACTCAAAAAATAAATAAAATAATGGCTGTATAAAAGATTATTAACACCATCCAGTGTGATTGATAAATGTTGTGTTTTCTTAATCTTTCAGTCGGAGTGACCATCTTCAGAAGGACATTATCAATACATACAGAAAATACTAACACAGCATGGCACGAACAACTGGACGACACTAAAGAGTCCTATTCTTCAAACAACAGAACCATGACATGGCATACATTCATCTTCCTTTAAAGAGAAGAAGTACAAAGGACACAAACCAAATTGGTTCTAGATTTTAACAAAAAGTTTTCTAAACCATACTTTGTAAATAGACTAATTATAACAATTTATAAATGTTTTAACAAATTCATGCACATCACAGTAATTGTTAAATGATAAGTTTTTATATTTATGACATTGTAATAGTAGTCTTTGTATGTATTGATAATGTCCTTCTGAAGATGGTTGCTCTGACCGAAACATGTAGAGGATGAACGATTAAAAAAACACAACATTTATCAATCACACTACACGGAGTTAATAATCTTTTATACTATTACTAGTGTAACAGACCAGGATGAACCAAGTCAAATAGTGGCTGTTTAGGAATAAAGTCAATGGCCTCACACAGTACCTCATTTGCATCCCTACTAGGCTCACAGGCAAGCACAGGTGGAGGAAGATTTTGTGTCATTTCTGCAAAACTTGTGTCACTACGCACAAGGCCATATTTAGCCTGGTATGCAGACCCCAGCATGGCAGAATTGGATGCTTCCTGTAACAATTACAGTGGATTTGCATTCTACTTCCTTGATTTACCATTCAACTTTTAAGACAGTAGGTTCATTTGAAATATCAGTAAACTTCACAGCATCACATCCCAGAAGATGGCAACCCTTCTGAAGAATGCTGACTTCAAGATTTGTGTTCAGATTTTCACTGTTCTTTTTCATGAAGGAAGCGCAACAGACGTGAACTCTGTAACATATCTCCTCTTTCTTATAAACTGTTCATATCATGTAGATTCTAGAATACTGGATGATGGAAAAAGTCCAGAAACCCATTAATTCTGAGTGCTCCATACACACTAAATCTGACATGATATGACATTTAATGTTACCTTTGCTTACTAAGGAGTCTTCATCTGTGCAGTTTGATATCAACTTCAGGGGGAATATTAAATTAAGGAGATGACATAGTGACACGTGTATGTGTAACTATAGACAGGGCTTGGATTGGTGTATATATTTATTGACCATTTACAGGTCATAACTACAAATAACTGTAATGCTATCCCTATTTCCACACTTTACAGTTCACTACAGCACAGTCTAGTGTTCTCAGTCTGTTACAATGGCTATTCCTCTGCCTCCAGGCTCACGTCCTCTCTTCACAGACTCCCGTACAGAACTAGTTAGTTAGTTATTGGGGAGGGTGGGTTTCCCCATGCACTTAGACCAGTATTGGTCCATTGTGCTTCCCTCTATGATATTCTACCAGTCTCTATACCCTACCGATATTGGTGCGTACTATCAGTCCCGACCGAGCCAGCGAGTTTGGCCTCTACTGACTTGGCGGTATCTATAATGCTTCCCCCATCTATCAGAGGCGTTAGAGACTACTGTTGGGCAGGAAACGTCCTTGAATTTGGCTCAGTGACCTCCTTTGGAGATATGAGGTCCTTTTACGTGCCGTTAAGCTACAACACGGGACCCACGGCTTAAAGTCCCTCCCAGAGGACTTCTTCCCTGAATTTTTCCGCCCTTAAAAATTCCATGACCTCTGCTGTGTTTGAACCCGCGTACCACGAGTCATGAGGTGGGAACGTTACCTCTAGACTACGGAGGCCACTCCCGGACAGAACTACCGACTAAGCTTGTCCACTACTTATAATATCTTGACATGGACCGAGTAGTAAACCCTGTTTCATTGTTGCTATACCACTGTTGCGTTCGTGTCTGTTGCTGCAGGAACATGTTTGCAGAGTTGTTGCCTAGAAACGGCTCTGGTATATCTGCCTTCTTGCGGTCATTGCATAGTGATGGCTCTACATGTTACCATATAATTGATGCAGGCACTTAAAACTAGCATGCACACATCACATCATGAAAGTCAAGAAAGTAAGTAATACAAGTTAAGATATGAATGACCTCCTTCTGAAAACTCACAAGAGTATAGACAGGAGAGTTGAATACATCAGCAAGAACTTGGAGGATAGCTGAATTATTCGATGCTCCTCCAGTGGCAAATATTCTCGTGTTCTCACCTAATGTGAAGGAGATATATATATCAGAACAAAGACATAACCATTTTTGCAAGTGCAAGATCATACAGAAAAGTGTAATACTGATCATAATTACTTCAAAATAGAAACAAAGAGAAATGGTAACTTCACCTAAGGAAGGGAAATCAGTGTAGGACACAAATGACAATCAATCAAGATCAGAGACTGTAACTGCAAGAAAATTACTGATCCGTGCATATCATTATGGTTCACTAAGTACCATCTGTAGGTGTGTTACATGTGTATTTGTTACTTCAACATACACATCCAAAATGACAAAGAATAAAGGACAGACACTCCACATAATCACAGAATCGAGTGAGACATTTTTCCGAGCAATACACCACACATTCAGTTCACTTGAAGACTTAAGGTGAAAGAATTTCAGGAAACACAGGGCGTTCACCTTCTTCAGTTGCCAGCAGGTGCAAACATTAAGTCATTACTTCTTTCCCATTGGAATTAAAAATGTTGTGCATCTCTGGAATAAATTTCTGTCATTCTGTTGACTATGTACAGAAACAAGAGGATCTGTACATTATTACTTGTTCTATTGGTCACCTCACTTGAAGTAATAAGTACAGGTGTGACACGCCCAGTGGCACTGTGAAAGAAATCAAATTTTTCTGAACCCAAACACATGCTAGAATAGGAAGACAGCTTGACAATCTAACAGCTTTTATCTGACTTACACACACCCTACAACCCTTACCTCAGTCCATGGACATGACCAAATCCATGGTGCAGTCTGCTCAGAGCAGCCTGGTCTCAAAACAGAGAGTTGTGTGTAACTTTATACTGCAAAGAAATTCATCACTTGATCACTTACCTAAACTAACTCCAAGGTCTTCTGCATATGCCCGCTTCCCCAGAAACTGTCCTTCTATTAGAGCACGCACTTCTATTTCTTTGCTGTTGAACTTGGATAATTGAACATTAGCTTTGTTCACACGATAGTCCCCTTTCACGGATGGAATGATCTCCTGTATGTCATAGTACACTCCTGTAACAAAGTGATGTACCCAACATACTATCCTGCAAGAGAAAGTCAGCCAGACAATTGGCAATGCCTGGCTGCATGTACTGTGCAAGCTGCAAACACAGGCATAATTTTCGGATGACTTAACAATTGCTGTTGATACAATGAAGTACAATGTGTCCCTAAATTAACAGCAGAATGGTCAATGTTAACAATTTATACTCATCACATGCCTTGCCTTCTTTTTGCCAAAGCATAGCTTAGTTTCCTATAGTAAATACTTCTTATGAAAAGATGAATTCAAAGACTCAAAAAAAATTACAAAACAATTCAGAATGACACCACACACAGAAATAAATACAAATATGCCTCTGTTGTCTGTGATTCCCATTATCAACCTCAGCTACCTTACCTGAGGTTTTTCCTGATTTTCTCCAGTCCCTCCAGACAAAAGTTGCAATAGTACCCCAATTAGCCCATGACAACTTTTTTCCAAATAACTTAAAATTTATCATTCACTTATCATCCTAGCAACAGACAGCTTTAATTATTTTGCTATCCATCAACACAGTATACGTATAGTTCTCTCTCTTTTTCTTGTTACTCCCACTTTGGGGCACAGGGCATCCATGAAATACTTCGTTTCACTTCAGTTTCTTAATCCTAAGACAGTCAGTAGGACTTCCTGGTCAGGGGAACAGCATGTCACAAGGCTGCAACATATACAAACACAGACAGACATGCATTGAGTGGGATTCAAACACATGAACCCATTGTTTGAGCGAAGACAGTTCATGCCTTAGACCACGCAGCCCCTGTGATCAGCATATATATATATAGTGTATGTTAAAATTTGCAATATGTTTCATCCTCTTAGCTATCATAAAGTATCCTAAATGCACCTTTGACTTATATGCCCTTTTTCCTACACTGACCAGTGTTTATGTATGGGGTATATTTTATGTTGCCAGTCATTTACACATTAATGTACTTGTCTTAGTTACAGCATTGAAATATTAAAATATTAAATATTACAATATCATATATGTGGGGAGCCAGGATAGCGTAGTCAGTATAGAAACTGGCTACAGACTGGACAACAGAGAGGGTCAGAGTCCGAATGCCGGTAGGGACAAGAACTTTCTTTTCTCCATGTCATCCAGACTGGCTCTGAGGCCCACCCAGCTTCCTATCTAATGGGTACTGGGGGCTCTTTCCCAGGGGTAAAGTATACGGTAACTATACTACAAGCCAGATGATCTAAGAACTGCGTTCTGATTCCTATAATCAGCAAGGGATTTTTTTCTCTTCTCCACAGCATTCAGACTGGCTCTGGTTCCCACCCAGACTCATGTGGGCTCCTTCCCTAGGGGTAAAGAACTGAGAAGTAAAGTTAACCACTCACCTCCATCTAGTGACGAGGTTAAGAATGTATGGAGCTATACCTCCACTACCCCATATACCTTCATGTTATGGTGCATAATCAAGCCATGGGCTCAACTTTACCTTTACATACTGGATGCCAGGAACACAGGATAAACAGACTAGAAGGGCATGAAGAGGAAAACATAAAATCTTCTGACTTTACCCATGTTGCCAAAGTTTCCTCGAGGGGTGCTATTCAGAAGTTCATTGAATAATTTCCACGAGCCTTCCACACAGCTGTCACGAATTCTTTCCCGAGTCAGAGATCCATTCTTAAAGCTGAAAATTAAGGGAAAATGCTGACTAGCTGAGCAACTATTAGCTTCTTAGTAACGATTTTTGTCCCAGGAGTTAGTTCTTCATGATTTTACATATGACATTAACATTTCTTCATTATAAACCAACTCAAAGAGGATGCAATGGACAGGGCATGTAGCACTTATGGAAGATGAGAGAAATGCATACAAAATTTTGGAATGGGAAATCTAGAGTGAAGACACATCTTGGAAGGCCTATCCACAGAAGGAAGAATATATATATATATATATATATACTGCTCATAACATAAGTTGGTGAAAGCGTGTGTAATGGAATGATATGCCTGGGGAATTTTTTAACTATTTGCTTCCCAAGAAGGACTCTTCATTGGAGTGAGTGAGTTAGTTGATACACAGTGGTACAATTAAAATTTATTTAAACTTCAAATCAATATATTTATTATATGAATGACTTGAATCTGTATGTGTAATGTACATCAAATGTGTCTGAATTCTTTACTTCAAGAACTGTATATTACACAAGTTGAATTAGCTTAGTTCATGAAATTACACAATTACCGTCCACAATGCGTACCATAACAGCGCCATATATCCATCTTTGTCAATTGGACTGCTGAGTATATGACCTTCAAGAATAAGTTTGGGCTGTCTGAGACTCAGGAACAGAGTGTCGCTCGTTCCCAAACTGACTGCGATATCACCTGTCTTCAATCGCATCCCTGTATGAGGAAGTGAATAGCAACTCAACAACACAGACATATCACAGGTACATCAGATGGTCACATTTACAACGGGGTTTATGCATACCCTCACAGAAAGGTCATATCTATCCAGGATACTGTGTTCTCATGCACACAGAGCATTTCTGACAGTTCTGGACTGCCACAATTCCAATACAGAGAGATAAGAGGACTGTTTACGCCAGCACAAGTTCACCGAAGTTTTGGAGGAATATACTGTCTCCATCTTCAAGGATAAAGAGCAAGTCAAGCAAGTAGCCAGCAAGAAGCAGGACCCTGATGATAGCCGCATGTTTCTCTGAAACATCAGTGAACTTTTACCAAACTACATGCTGTAAGAATCCCATATCCAAAGTAGTTATACCGTGGAAATTACTTTGTGTGTATGAGCAGGTACTACAATATACTAGGGCCTATTCAAAAGATGTCAATTGTCGTTTCTTTTATTAACCTTTGCTGTACACCCATCCACATGGATTTAGAAGTGTAGTGGTGTCTGGTTATAAGGTTATTTGTTCTATTTCTAAAAGAGACAGTATTACTCTTTTTCCTTTCCACATATCAAACATTCAATACACTTGGAATGATGTCTAGATGCAGTCTTTAATGACATGTTGTAAATCCCATGAGGTTTTTCATCGTTTTCCTCAGTACATCCAAGCAAATGTCAGAAATAATACCTTCATTCAGTCACAACTGTTTCTTCTCACAACCTTTCCAATTTATCAATCATCCTATCATCCAATGTCATACTCTCCAGATAGTGACCCCGCAAGAGACATGAATCTATAATTTCCCTGTTAGTACAAAAAAAAAACTGTGGGCCAAGGCAAAAAGTTTCAATCCAAATCAAGCCTGTGGAGTTCTCCGCATTTTTTGCCCACTCACACGGGCTTTTAATTCTGTTGTGTTACATGTTCGTGCCCAAGCACAGTTTTGATTGACTCCTGACTTTACCATAAGACATCTCCACTACAGTTCAAGTCCACAGACAAAACTGCATATATAACCCACTTTCCTGAATCCCCTTTGATATAAAGAAATTTCTCTTCTCACCAGTGACGGCCCCTGGTGGGTGCTTGCATGCAGTGGGAGAAACAGCTTCATTTTGCAACAAACATGGCAAAATACTGCAATTACAGACCAAACTCAACTTACTTTATAATTAACCACTGATTTATAAAACTATACAATTCAGAACTATGTCCTGCTGTAGATGCAAACAAGCACCATTAATTGACTCTATGACAGCAGAAGCAAGCAGTCTGACAATGCCAATTGTGAACAATTTCCATCTGCCCACTATCCTCAAAACATGGAGGTGACAGGTCCCTCTAAAATGTCAGATGACTTTCAACAGACTACATGGCGCTATATCCCAGAAGACAGAACACTTCATAACCACTGCTGTGAGAATCTCAAATCCTACATCATCAAAACATATTTCTCTAACATCCCATTTTCAGTTCCAACAGAAAGAGTGTGGATGTTTGGAATTATATAACTCAAAGATGTTACTGTAAATTCCTAGAGAGATTTTCCAAAAAGGACTAAGATTAGTTTCTTGAGTAACTGCACAACTGGCAGCTTATGAAGAAGGGCTCAGCTCCATGAAGTTAGTTACTTTAGACTAAGATTAGTTTCTCAGTTCTATAGAAAGTGACAGTGAGGGAACTGAAGTATTTCTTCACTCAAAGTATTTTAAGTTTAGAGTAAGCAGTCATTCCTTTTTTGTGTATGAGTTATCTTATGAAGCTGTCAGTAGACAGACTACATAGCATCAGATGGCAGGATGTTAGGGTGACTGATAAAATGGTTAACGATTTGGAAGCAAGCATTTGTATCCTAATTGAGGTATTATCCTGACATTTGTCAAAAGGGAGTAAGGAAAATCATCAAAAAATTCCATCATGACAGCTAGTGTTCAGACCAAGATTTGAACCACAGGCCTCCTGAATGAGATAAGAGTGTTACAACCACATCAGCCTCCTCAGCACTGCTACAGTAAATCTTCGCTAATCCGGTTACAGTTAAACTGGAGTGAAATATGAAAAATGATGTTCGCAGTTGTGTAACATACTTTAAAAGCTGCATGATATTCAGGAACGCAGGCGAGTCACTTGTCTGTTCAAACAAAACTTGAGACAGTTTCTTCAAATCTGTATTATTACAAAAATCTTTATTAGAATCTGTCGCAACACAACTACAAGACGGTCGAAGTCAATATTACCTTAGCTACATGTTTCAACGTTTAAAGCCATCATCAGGCAAATACATAGTTATTGCACTAGCAAACTATTGAACTACATTTCAGCATTTCAATATGATGGTACAATAGTACAATAACTATGTATTTGCCTGATGATGGCTTTAAAAGCCGAAACATGTAGCTAAGATAATACTGACCCCGACCTTCTCATAGATGTGTTGCGACAGATTCTAATAAAGATTTTTGTATAACAAACACATGATGCACTCAATGAAAACTGTATTGTTACATTAAAAAACAAGTACAACTTCCGAGTCTTCTATCAATGAATAATTGTACTGTCTTTTAATAGATTTTAAATAAAGGCTCTACAGTTTATTTTCACCGCACTACTTACATCATTAAATTTCCCATGTATTTGTGTTAAAAGTTTACTTTTTTCTTTTAGGGCTACCTTTTGCTTCACTAATCTGGATTATGGCTTAATCCTCCCACCAATCAGCACAGATTAGCAAGGGCTTTCTTTTTATTGCTAGTGGGGTGGGACTAAGTCCCTTGTGCTGCGGCTACTTCTGGCCTACTGTACCAGCCCCAGATGATAGGTGAGTGTGATTGTGAAGCAATTGGTGGAATGAAGATTGGCAGGGGAAACCGAAGTACTCAGAGAAAACCTGCCCCAGCGCCACTTTGTCCACCACAAATCCCACTTGACCAGACCTGGGATCGAACCCGGGCCGCCATGGTGGGAAGCCAGCGACTAACCGCTTGAGCTATGGCGGGGCCATTTAGCAAGGGCTTTCTTTTTATTGCTAGTGGGGTGGGACTAAGTAACTTGTGCTGCGGCCACTTCTGGCCTATTGTACCAGCCCAAGATGGTAGGTGAGGGTGATTGTGGAGCAATTGGTGGAATGAAGATTGGCAGGGGAAACCGAAGTATTTGGGGAAAACCTGCCCCAACGCCACTTTGTCCACCACACAAATCCCACTTGACCAGACCCGGGATCGAACCTGGGCTGCCACAGTGGGAAGCTGGCGACTAACCGCTTGAGCTACGGCACAGCCGTTTAGCAGGAGCTTTCTGTACTTCTCTCTGTTCTGTGCTTAAGTTTATACTCAGTATTCCTTTTCAGTGAAGCATTTAAAGTACATCGTTAGAAAGTGTTTAATATAAAGTGAACTGCTGTAAACATTTATATCAGACAAATGATCACAAATGTTGTTTTGAAAAGACAAGGCATATTTTGAGATGATGCAGAAAAACTAAAAAATGGAAAATACATCTGAAACATATTATTAAGTCTTCATGAAGAAATTGTTTACAGGGAGTATATTGGTTTTAATAATACTTTATTGCTTAATGATATATGAAAACATTTACTTGAAATTTGAGGTTCTCATGGCAGAGAGTAAAATGATTATGATATGCTGCAATGTGATGATGTGTAGTTTGGTGGGGAGACACCAACATTTTGGAGGAACCTCCTGCCTCCATCTTCAGGGAAAGAGAATATGAATACTTGTTTAAAGTGAAGAGAAAGTGGGACAGGTATATTAAAAGAGTATGGGAAAAAATTTATGTTCAGTGCAATATAAATGCATCAACTGAAGAACTTCAATGAACATAGGTCTAGTTTATATATATATAAAAGCACAGAACTCAAAAAAAGATCCCTACCTTGACAATATTCAGGGGTTCTTATGGGTGGGTCATTCAATATCCATATGACTCAATAGGATTATTATTAGTACAAGCAAGAGTCAGTCAATATGTCACAAATGGAAGTACAACAACTGTAATGGACAAAATAGATTTTCTATGTGTATCACTAGTTAGCAGCAGAGTCAAGCTTCATGATAATGTAGGTAGCAGATGCATATGCACATGTTCAGAGGCCAGTTTCAAAAGTCAAAATGGTGACACTGCTTGAGGATTATACTACCAATGAGCAGCATTCTGTTATGCGTTTTTTATGGTCAGAAGGACTCAATGCAAGGATATTCATAAAGGTTTCCTGTTTATGATGGGGAATGTTTGTTGTGTAAAGCTGTTTCACTTCGGTGGAAAATGTTTCGCTGATGATGAGGTTGAAACAGAGGTGCATGAGTGGCTGAGGCAACAGTCAAAAGACTTCTACACTGCAGGGTTTCGACGCATCGGTAAAGCGATGGGACAACTGTGTCAATGGTGGTGGAGGATACGTCAAGAAATAAATGTTTTCTCCAGGTTCAAATATCACACGTTTTACATTTTATATCCATTTGTGATCTATTTACTGACTCTCCCTTGTAATATATTTTTTTTAATGTTCACGGATTCGAACATTCCAGAACCCACTGCTTCTGTCTTCAGGGTACAAGTGTAACCTATGTAGGGAAAATTGGTATGGACATATGGGAGAACATAAAACCAAAAATAAACTAAAAAACAATGACACTTACAAGGTCTGTATTGTAAGGGTAGATGCCAGGGAGGGAAGAGAAGGTACAAACACAGGAGGGAGAGACTGAGTAACAGGGGTAAAAGGAGATAAAAATTAAACAAGAAAAATACGATAAGAAAACTAAGATGACAAAGAAAGAAAATAAAACTAAAATAAAGATATATTGGGATGAAACATAGAAACTACTACTGTTGTGTAAGGGTGGCTGTCAAGAGAGAAAAGACGAAGGGAAATAGGTAGAAGAGACAGATAAAATAAAATACATCAGCATTCTAAAACACATATCAGGTTATTCCAAATGATTAAAATACCAGTCTACTCAAGGCAACATTCCATCATGTTAATCATGCCACTGCTTCCAGCCATACATTTCATTCTCTTGTAACTGGTCTTTATATTGTTACCTATGAGTGAAGCCGGATTATCACCCGTAAATGCAATCACTCTACACTGAGGGTTGAATCCAAATCTTTCAACGTAAAACTTCGAAACAGGGCCTATGTTAGTATATGAAGGAACAGGGGTACCAAGCTTAGCTTCTACATCGGGTGCGACTGCCTGGAAACACACAATGCATGACATTGAGCAAGCATCAAGCAAACAACTCTACACAGTCTAAGTTACATCACACCTTGCATGTGATTAGTATGCAACATATGATATGAAGATATCACACAGGAGAGATGTCAAATTTCTCCATTTGTGGCTTTACTACAGCCTGAAGAATGCCGTCTTCTGGGATGTGGCGCCATGTAAATTCTCTTGGTTGAACCGACGTTTCGGAGGAACATACCACTTCCATCTTCAGGGTAGATGGAGGCGATACATTCCTCTGAAACATCGGTTCAACCAAGAAAATTTACATGGCTTCACGTCCCAGAAGAGACAGCATTCTTCAGTCACTGCTGTGAAAACCTCAAATCTTACTTACTACAGTCTGTGTGCACAGTGAATCGCTGCCCAATGGATGACTTCTTCTGGATAAGACAATCACTTGATCTAACTGAAGCTTTGATCCGTGCTTGAGTAATGTTTTCAGTAAACCCGGTTTACTTCCCCAAAGCTGGAGCTTCTGCTGAGGCAGGTTTCTATTAGGTGGGTGATGCTGCAGACATGTATTTGGGATGTTGTTGGTTCAAATCTCAGCTTGGATCTAGATTATTCTGGCTGAGGTGATGTGTGGTATTCATCAGTCTTTCCATGCTAAATCTGGGAGAGTACCTTGATTATGCCATGATCGCTTTCCAATTCATTATTCACCAGTCATTCTACCATCCAAAGCTTATGAAAAAGGTAAAGCTATGCCTGCAACAGGCTGTGAAGGTCTATAGGGTTGTGAGACATCAAGGTTCCCACATTTTCTAGATAATTGGCACACAGATGGTGGTGAGGTCGAGTAAAAGCATCCCTGTAACAGGTCATGGAGGCCCACGGGGTTGTGAGACATTGAGGCTCCAAATGGCAGTGAGGTTGTCAGCCTTATACACCGGCCGCCCTTTACCTCTAGGAAGATGCCTGGTACTCATTTCTGTTAGAAGCTGTGTTGACCCCAGGGCCAAGTGCGGCTGGAATGCTTAGGTCAATTGAAAAATCCAATGACCTCATCAGGATTCAAACCTGCGACCTTCTGGCTTGTAGCATAGTGCCTTACAACCAACTACACTACCACACGCCCCCTCCAAATCTTATATAGTGTGAAATACTGACATCATGGAGAAATAAAATTCTCAAATTTTGACCTGTAAGGTCTCCTGGCCTCAATGACCTGATGACACTCTACATTTAACAATCAAATCCAGGGAATACAACGGACAGGGTCCTCTACTGACCAGCAATTTTTCTATTACAAAAAGAAAACCTGTAGAGTCAGCATTGAACGTTCTGAGAGGCAGACTGTGCTACCAATATCCCGCATTGCTCTGATGCCACAAAAATTCTACACTAATAACCTGCACACTCTGCAGGCTTTACAATCCAAAATCCAAGAAAACATGGAAGATTTAAGTCAACATGTCACAGTAAGAAAATTGCTTTGATGTTGGAGCCATTATCATATCAAGTAATGTGGCCTTACTGAAAACATTCTTCAAGGATCGACTGAACTTCCAATTTGTGAAGGAGCACAGTATATCATCTTACCTGACAAAACCTTCCCACTAGTGAGTGTCATTCTTTACAGATAACAGCAACAAAGCCATAAACAAAGAAATCAATGTTTCTGTATTCTTCAAAACAGGGATCTACAACCTTTGTGTCACAAGCAACAAGAGAAGCTTATTAATTTATATCAGGCATGTATGAATCTGATGCGAAGAAAAAAAAACTAAACTGAAATTATCAGACTACAAATACCTTTGGAACTTTGGCTCTCAAATCAAAGAATTTGCCAAACACTGTCATGACAGATTTTATCTCAAAAAAAAAAAAAGCCTAACAAATGATATTGTTTTCATATAAATACGAGGGGGGACCTAAAAATAACCGGAACCGACCTGTTGCGCGNATAAAGACTTTACTCTTCTCAACAGCATCCAGTCTAACTCTGGGGCCCATTGAGCCTCCTACCAAACCGGTCATGTGGGTTACATCTCTGGGGATTAAGTGGCGGGGATGTGAGGCTGACCACTCATCATCATCATCTAATACTAAGGTTGAAAAGTGCAGCTATACCTCCACCCCCCATACATCTTCACGATGTGGTACTTCATTGCGTACAGCCATAAATTTACTTACCCTACCTATGTTTCTACAGTGCTTTGTTGGATCTTCGCCACTTTTTCAGTTTCTTAATCCTATACACAGCAGGTATTCCTCCAGATGAACCTACACCACAGTAAAGCAGCCATGGCAACTTTATGCCAGGAGCTAGCTGAGGGAAAGGCATATAGCACTTATTCAGAAACCTTGGCTATACAAGGGTCAAATAAGAGGTTTAACCAACACAGGGGGAACTGTTTACTCTGCTGCACCTGTTAATAATGCAAGATCCTGTGTTTATATCAGGAATCATATTAATGCCTTACCTTTGCTGAAGCTCTGTTCTAGGGTAAGGATAACATACCCGCATTGAGGAAGTTGCATGGAGTTGATTGTTGCTTCAGTCTACCTTCCATATGACTCGAATGAACCATCAACTAAGGAAATGAGGGACATCACAGACTACTGCTGTAGCAGGAAAAAGCAACTCATCATTGGGTGTGATGGAGGAGCACCAGCACTAACCCAAGGGGAGAGAGCCTTATGGAATTTCTGGTGAGTCAAACCTGAATATTCTAAACAATGGTAATGAACCTACCCTTTGTGGTTTGCAATAGGAAGGAGGTTATTGACTTGACACCAGGGGCAGATAAAATACAAAACATGGTAAGTAATTGGCATGTATCTGATGAGCTGTCCCTATCGGATCACAGATATATGCTTTCAAATAGGTAGCATAACAACAAAACAAGTTACCGTTAGGAATCCCAGGAGAACCAACTGGGAGTCGTACAAGGACGCTCTAAATATGAATCTGGAGTTTATTTCGTGAAGTATACGCACGATAAGGGTCATAGATCGATCTCTTGACCAGTTGCAACAGGCTATTATCTTGTCCTGTTATCATAATTGTTCAGCCAAGACTACTCGCTTACCAAGAAATACACCTTGGTGGAATAACAAGCTGAGTGGGCTAAGGGCTAACACAAGAAAGCTATTTAATATAGCAAAAAGGATAGGGCTGTGGGACACCTACAAAGAAACCCCTACCTGTTATAATAAAGAAATAAGGAAAGCCAATGATTCTCATGGAGGAGGTACTGCCAGGAGATCAATGATGTACCAGGCAGTGCCAGACTCATGAGGGTCATGGCAAAACAGGCGACCAACAAGGTCAGTACTATCAAGCTGTCTGATGGCAAGTATACCCAAACTGGGAAAGGGACACTGAAAGAACTGTTCAGAGTTCAGTTCCTTGATTCAAAGCTGACTGATGATTCAGGTGATAGGCAGGTCCAGCAGAATCTGGGCATATGTAGACACATAACAAACAGGGGAGACTGGAACCTGGCCAATCAGGTAATAAATCAATCAAAAATTAGATGGGCGTTTGGTACCTTCAAAACATTTAAGTCTGCGGGAACAGACGGAATTGTACCAGCACTTCTGCAGCAAGGGGTGCAACATTTAGTTCCATGCCTATGCCGCATATTTAAAGCCAGTGTGGTGCATGGGTTTATCCCTACGGCCTGGAGGCAAATGAAAGTGACATTTATACCAAAGCCCAGGAAACTCGATTATACCAAGGCTAAGGCTTATCATCCTATCAGCCTCATGTCTTTTCTTTTGAAAATGATGGAGAAAGTAGTAGATAGACACATTAAGGATGGTGCACTGAAGATTCATTCTCTGCACCAAAACCAACATGCTTACCAAATAGGTAAATCTACTGAAACCACACTACATAATGTGGTAACATGCATAGAAAATGCCATTGAACACAAAGATATTGGCCCTTGGAGCATTCCTTGATGTAGAGGGATCCTTTGACAGAACCTCCTTTGATACCATAAAACAGGCTGCTGAAAGGCATGGCATTGAACCCGCAATACAAGGTGTGGCAATAAAGAAACCGGATTCATGCTCTAACCCTTTATTAAAAAAAAATCAGACAGTCGAAATGTTATCCCCTTCAATGTAGTCCCCTCCCCGATCCCTACACCGCTCCATGCGAATTTTCCACTGTTGGAAGCAGTGCTGCAGGTCATCTTGTGTTATGCTCTTCAAGAGTTGCGTCGCTTTTGCTTTCACTGCATCCACGGACTCGAACCTGGTCCCTTTCAGCGCAGACTTGATTTTTGGGAAGAGAAAAAAGTCGCACGGTGCTAGGTCCGGAGAATACGGTGGATGTTCCATCACTGGAATGTTGTTTTTTGCCAAATACCTCTTCACAGATAGCGCGTTGTGTGCTGGCGCGTTGTCGTGATGAAGAACCCATGAGGCATTCTTCCACATGTCTGGTCTCCTTCGTCGCACACGTTCACGGAGGTACGTCAAAACATTTTTATAATAAACCTGATTGACAGTCTGACCTTCAGGCACCCAATCAATGTAGATTACCCCCCGGATATCGAAAAAAACAATCATCATTGCTTTGAATTTGGACTTGCTCATGCGCGCTTTCTTCTTCCTAGGGGATTTGGGGCTCTTCCAATGCATGGATTGTCGCTTAGTCTCTGGATCATATTGAAGAATCCAAGTTTCGTCACACGTAATTACGTTTTGGAAGAAATCAGGATCATTTTCAATGTTTTCAAGAGTGTCAACACAGCAATTCACTCGATGTTCCTTTTGCTGGGGGGTAAGGATTTTTGGCACCACTTTAGCACACACCTTTTTCATGCCCAGATCGTCGTGCAAAATCTGTCTAACACTTTCCTTATTGATGTTCGTAAGTTCAGAAATTGCTCGAATGCTCAGTCGACGATCTCTTCGAACAATTCTAGCGACCTTCTCCACATTCTCTGGAGTTTTCGCAGTGGGAGGACGGCCCGATTTTGGATCGTTCCCGACGTTTTTCC